ATATTTTGCTCCATTTTATGTTATGTGAAGGGACCTTTAAAGTGCATGTGCAAGACCCAAAGTACCACTTCCACTGCATTTGTACAGGAATATTTACCAAGGCTTTGTGAAAGCAATGTTTGTTTTATGACTTGAAAAGCAAAACTGGGAAAGAACTAATGGTTCGGCTACTGTAGCATGATGAAAACAGATCCCCTTTCTGAAATGACATAAGAAAAATAGAAGGAAGGCATTTGGAGAAGAATAAAAGCACTGAAACTCTAGGTCCCTGAAAACTCCAGGTTTCTAGAAATAGCGTTATGTGGATTTAAATTTGTAACTGGGTGCATAAATTTCTTTCTCTGTGGAAAAGTTCTGATTTTCTGAAGGAAACCGCAGGGGAAAAAAAAACTTTTGCTACTGAAGTTGTTGTTACATCATCCTGAAAAAACTGAAAATGAGTCAATTGCAATACATGTGAGTTTTAAACCTGGCCTTTAACAAATGTGAAATCATTGTCAGTAGTAATATTTCGTAAATGCTTTAAAGTTGTTGAGTGCAAGTTGATTTTTTTTTTTTCCCACATACTTGATTAACTCATTCCTGGTGTAGGTCCCCTGTCTGGTCCCAGTCATGACTGTTTGCAGTTATTCTCCTACCCTGTTTTCCACTGGAATAAGTCTGGAATGAGCTTGGATCACTTCCATTTGGTGTCAGGGTCTCCACCAGTATATTTGCAATGTGAATAATTTTAAGGACCACCAGTCTGACTGGGAGCATGAAGAAAAACAGTGGAACTTGTACCTGTTCTTTCAGGTTGTAGCTCTTATAGCTGAGTTTAACCATATTTTATGATGGGAGCTGCTGCCCTGGCTCAGGTTGTTGTTTGAGAGCCGTGGGAACACCACCTTTCCCTGCAGATAACAGATCATGTCTGTGCTGCACGTTCAGGGGGCTCTTTTCTGCAGAGGTGATCTAAACTTAAGGACAGGTGGCTCAGAGAAACAACTAATCTTATGTTCTTTCTGGTCTTTATCAAGTAGTCCCACTTGGTCTAAATCAGGCTTTAAGGCTTTTGTTTGCTCTAATGCAATTGCACATGTGTTTTACTCAGACTCCGGTGAGCCAGACTTTGGCAGCAAGACTGGATAAGCTTTCTATAGGTTTTTAAAAAGCAAATTGCACTGTGCTGCTCCCTGGGAAAGTGTCTTCCTTGGAAATGTTTAATACACCCTCCCTCCTCCCATCAGTTGTGAAATGAAACTATCCCTGGCATATACTGACAGTTTGTGAGTCAGTTTGTGTCTTAGCTAAGAAAAAATATTGATTTTTTCCCCCCGTGAACAGTGTTATGCACTTAGAGATGTCTTTTTCATTTACAGTGTGGGAAGTAAACTCCCTCTGCCTTGGGGGGATTTCAATGACATGAACATGGTCATTCCAGTTCAAGGACTTTCTGCACAGGAAAAAGAAGAAGAAGAATTGGGTAAATGTGCAGAAATGTGCAGATCTCTAGAGCAGTTTTTACCCACTCCAGCGAAAAATAACCATGAAATTATGATAGAGTTAAAACCTGGGAATTTCAGTATTCTGAATAAAACGAAATGTGACACAAATATTTACACACGAGTACATTGTACAAAAGTGTATGGGGTGACAGGATGCAAATTGCAGTATTATTTGGGAAAAACAGAGTTGAAGATCACCCCCTTCATGTGCAGTGAAGGCAAAAATGAAGCTCACTTGCCAAAGAACCACAAGTTCTCTGAGATGCATTATTGGGATAGATAAATAGACAGACAGACAGACATCCACACACACACACCTCTGCAGAGTGTAAACATGTAAGTGAGTGACTGTTTCAGTGGGATATATTTCATCTGCAGGACTGTCATAATGATTTGGCTTGTAGAGACTTCCACCTCTGCAAACTCTTTATTTGAACAAGCCTTATAGTTTTTAATTTGTCTACAAAAGGGCTTGGAGACCTGGGAAAAGGAATGAATGAATCAAAGGTGCTGCCAAGACTTGCACTGTGCCAGATTTTTTTTGTAATTTTGTGGTTCTTGGCAAAGGTGAGGCTGGAAATCCATGTTGCTGACCAGCCTGGAATCATCTCTTGGGAAGAGAAATGCTGTGTTCCTGTGGAGGAAAATGATGGTGTTTCCCTGCCTATCTCATGGCCAGACCTGAGATCTTACAATGGGATGCTATTTCTGAGCTAAGAAAACCACATGAAGAGATATTTTTGCCACTAAAACAGACAGCTTCATGCTGTCTTAAAAACCCTCAATGGGTTTTTGATGGTTTTCTTCATTATTTTGAGATTCAATCAGAAGAGATTTATGGGGCAAAGAGTCAGTCTACTGACACGGACTAAGGATTGGGATTCAACCTAAGGAAAGATATTGAGGTAAGCTCAGAATTATCCAATAAATCTTCATTTCCCGCCATCCTCCTTATAGAAGTAATTGCCCCCCAAAAGGCCAGTTTAACTGAGGATTCAGCAGGAAGCAGATAGGATTGTGACATTTACCAGCATCATGCCACCATCCAAATGGAGAATGGACTCTGGGTTTCAGGGCAGAAAACTCCCACTGAGCTTTTGAGAGCACTTGTAGATATAGAGAAGGAATTACCTCTTTCAGTCAGTGGCCTGAAATTCCTGCCAGAAGCTTTCAGCTGAACTGTGTGCTGTGAAGCAGAGTCTGAAAACTGACCAAGAAATCACAATATAGAGTAACTTTGAGTCAGGCAATCTGCAGCCTTAGAACAGTATCTGTGGAGGGTGCTAACAAAGCTTTATGAGAGGTGCTACTTGTATTAGAAATGAGCTCTGATGAATGTGAAATTTTTCAAATACCTAGTATTGGTAGCAATCCAGCTTTCCAGGATCCTCAAATATAATGCAAAAAACCCTTTATTTGAAACTGAATGCAACTAAAGAAACTTGGTCATAATCAAAGTGAAAAGTAGTGAAGTTATTAGCAAGAAGTAGGCGATATAGCACAAACACACAAAATTAGAATTTTTTTATTCAGCACTATAAAAGACAATAATGAATAGTCTGGGCATGAAAAAACTCTTTTGAAGCAGTGTCTGGAATGCTGTCACAGAGCACCTTTATACTGCACTCTGAAGGAAAGCTCAGTGCCTTGTGGCTCCTGACTGAATTTACTTTCCGAATCCCGATCAGTTCTGGGTTTTGAGGGTGAGCAACATCCATGAACCCACAACCACCCCCTCTAATGATCTCCACAGGTCTGGAAAGCCTGAGCACCTGGGCAAAGCTGGGTAAGCTTCTCCTGACCTGGGCAAGAAAGGGAAGTCTGGAAGTGAGCACCATCCCGTACTTGGGGACAGGCTGCAACTTTGCATCTAGACACGAGTTTACAGTGAAACTGTAAATTTTGTGTTTACTGAATCACTCTCTACAGTGACACCTGTTGGGATTTGAGAAAAAGGAATTGTCAAAGACAGGGATGTAAAGTTATTCTTTTTCTCCCACGGCTTCAAAACTCTGGTGTGTGGAGGGGACCCCCTGTTAGATTTATCATGTCCCTTGCTGAGGGGGAACAGGAGGTGAAAATAACTAAAATAATTTTTGAATATGAATCCACAGACATTAGGATACATTGAGCCAAGTCCAAAGTAATGCAGATGGGGTTCATTTGATGACAGTATCTTCCATAATATTGCAATAATTATTTTGATGGGTTTTGTATATTTTGCAATCTGAAAGTGCCTGGATAAGCAGTAGATAACCACTGTTAAAGAGAAGTGCAGTTTGACATGTGCAGTAATTCTGAAATTTCTTCCCAATATTAGACACAGCTTTTCCCAAGACCCACTTAAAGGATTCTGCAGAATGGCTCAATGCAATGCCACTTTTCTGCAGTAACACATGAAAAATGGTGCAATTACGAATATGATTGCTCTCATCCCACGTATCTGGAGTTGGTGTTGTCAAAATTCTAGTTCAGACATTTAACCCAGTTTCAATATGAAACACACAAAATATATAGTCATCTTCACATAAAATATGACCAAACATCTTTGGTACCAAAAACCAAACCAAGCCCACCTTTATTGCATCTACATAGAATATGTGACTATGGTGTACTACAGCATTATTCATCTTTTTTAGGGTAAGCTGTATGCTCTCTATCATGTTCCAAAATTATTTCAGTCTCATGTCAAAAATTCACTTTTCTTCTTTGAGTAAAGGTCATGATTTTACTTAGGACCTTGAGGAGGACTTCAGATGGTGCAGTAGTATAATAATAATAAGAAGAAGAGTTTTAAGGGACACCATGGACCCTGTCAAGAGCTCATCTTAGATAAACATTTAGCACATCATACTTATGGAAAGCTATCTGTTCAAAACTTCCTTCTGGCTACAGGTGCTTCATATTACACATCTCTGATTTATACTGGTACAGGTCGAGACAAATGATCACTGTGCAACTGCTGGGAATTAGGTTAATTCAGATTATTTTCCTATAGGTTCTTGACTATAGCAGACTTCTGTTTGAGCCCTCAGACAGGTTGCCTTCCAGACAATTGCCTGGATGAGATTTTGGAGGCAGGTGTTAACTGTGGAAACTTACTTAGTGTTAAACTCACTTGTCTGTTGCCACCGACTTTGGAGACGATACTTTAATTTTTTTTTCTGGTCATTGTCCTCCACAAAAGACCTAATTGAAAATATCTGTCAAATCCTGTCTCTGGTTTCCCTCTTCTTCCCCCGCCCCTCCATTAATTGGACACGTATTGTGTTTGTGTGGGAAGGAAGGAGGCTCTGTACCAGGGTAGCAATATTGCTGGGAAAAGAACATTAAAATGGATAAAGGGATTTCCTAGTGGTATAAATACCTGCACACGACCTCCCTGTGCTCCGGAGCCCTCCTCTGTGTGTATACCCAGGTAAAATCCTGGAACAGAGTTTGAGGTGCCATTAATCCTGGAGGATCTGCTCTGGTAGAACACGGGACAGGCAGCTCTCTTGCCTCTAGGAGGGTATGAGCTGCCAAGCATTTGCTTCCTCAGACACCTTTGTGCCCTTGAATTCTGACTCTTCTCCCTCTCTGCCTCTGATAATGCATCACAGCGCTGCAGAGTGCCTGCAGGTCTCCAACCATACCACCAATGTTGTGTCTACAGGTACTTTTTGAAAATGCTCTTGCTCTCATTTGTAATTTTTGGGTGATTGATAGATGAGTTCATTGAGTTCTCAGTGTTTAAAGTGGTCAGTGTCATGCATGATTGGGACTATGCCAGAGTAGAAGCAATTTCACAAAACTCTGCGTATGAATGAATCAGAAAAAGCACAAATGTTTTAGCTAAATACGTAATTTTCTTTAAGTTTGTTACAAGATTAGACTCAAATATGCTGCCAACTTAGAACAGGTTCAAACACTGTCTTTAGTATTACTACAATCAATGTAATACAATGACAACTTTCATGTAAATGAATTGAAAAAGTTGTTTATTATGTAACCATAATTTAAAAAATTATAAATTATCTTAAATAGGAAACACATTTAAAAGACCTCAAGTGTCAATATAGCTTGAGGGAGTTTTAAACAAAGAAAAACTTTGCTTTGCAAGGCATATTGCAAACTGAATCAAGAAAAAGGTTTAAGTGTGATGTTCAAAATGTGTAGTAGAAACCTTGCAGATATTTTTGAATCTTGTATGTTTGTGTATATAACAGAATTCGATGCATTTAAATATTAGGACTATTTAATCACTAAATATCTGAGCCAAAGAGAGTTTTCTTACAGCATTAATACTGCAGAGGTAGGATTCTGGAATACAGGAATTGTTGATAGAAAGCCTTCAGGGAAAGAAAAAGAAATAGTTGATTTATTTGAAATTGCATTAACATTAGAATTTCATTTGGAGTCTTAACAAGAAAGCAAATTTTTCCTGAAAAGCATTGGTAATAAAGCATTTTAATGAAAAGAAAAAGCATGTATGTAGTGAAAACGGATTATTGGTAACAGAAAACTGGATCATCTTATACGTTAAGCAAGAGGTTCAAAATATCCCAATACAGCTGTGGGTTAGCAATAGTGGCAGGGAACAGGAGAATTTAAATTTTGTATGAGGTCAAATTTATGTGCCTGTATCACAGCAGTATCTTCTAGATTCCTCTGACTTGTAATGGAAAGCACACGATGAGGGCTGGCCCAAAGCATCTCCTTGCCTGCCACAGGTTTGGTTTTGGTATTTTGTATCTGCCACCCAAGGACAGATGCCACTGTAGTCAGTGGAAACTGTGATTGTAGAACCACATCCAGAATATCTTGTGGAAAAAACGACCCTGGGAAAGCAAAAGCAGAGGGTGGTAACTATAATGAGTCAAGATTTACAAATTGCATACATAGATTAAGGAATTGTCATTAAAAGCGTCACATTGAGCATAAATGAGGAGAATTTGTGTACAATATAATGGTGAAAGAATTTTGAATAACAACTTGTTTTAAATGTCAAAAGTTTTAAAAATGGATGTAGCAATTCTCCATCACAAGAAAGGTGAAAATACTTCCGTTCAAATACTATGCTGTGCCATTCAGCTGATGTTCTGCAGTATCCTCAACACTTTAACTGCTATTATTTCATTTAAATAGCATCATCCTCACTATTTAATTTTAAGTCATTATTAGCAAGTCAAAAATTGTATTTTCATCCATAAAATTTATGGTATGTGGATTATGAAATAGTGGAAAATGCAACCAGTAAAGACTCAGATCTTAACAGAAAAGTTGAATTGCTCTACATGCACTAGAGTTATTAACACAATCTTTATTTTCACTGCATCTCCATTAGTATAAGCATGTTTGTCTTAGTAGATTTTATATCTGTGGAAGTATATTTAAACAGTACAAGAAGTCTTTACTGTTATGATTACTGATTTAAAACCCAAATATTCTAATCCCTAATTAGACTGTTTTGAACAACAGGAATGTGTTCTTTAAAATGTGGTCTTACGTGTCTGAATGTTCATGAACATTAATTTTTAATATTCTGTTTTATTGCAGTTGTTAGAGGGGGCAGTACATGCATTTCTATTCCTACTTATACATGAGAAACAGCCATATCTCTATATTGAATTCAGCAAAAAATTGTCTCATTCTTCAGGCACCGGCTATTACTGAGCACGGATCTAAAATACCCCTGTGAAAACACTAGAGATAAATTAACCGTGTGTTTGCTGGTGATGGAAAATATTTATTTAAGCCTGACTTGTTAGAAGAATCCAGAATTTACCATCTTGTTTCTCTACCACCTCGCCAAAGCACTCTGAAATGCTCTTTGTTGCTTGGCACTCAAGAAATTGTGATTTTTGGACACACCAAAGCAAATGTCCCAAAGTGTTGCTTTTGGAAACCCAGGCCTTCATTCGCTGCAGGGTTTGCTTGACAGTGAAGGCAATTTCCTGGGAGCCTAGAATTAGTTTTAGTGTGAGACAGAATGAACCAGTGTGTGGAAGCTGAGTGAGGAGAGGAACAGCTTTCCCTTTAAGAGTGCAATGCTTCCCCTGCTCAGCAGTTTGTGCAAACTGGGTTATGCCCATAGATTATACCAAAAGCAGCTCAGCAAGGGACAGCACGGCAATTCCTAGTCCTGCCTCAGAGGATGCCCCCTATTTCTAGTGGCGGTTCTCCCTGTTAACCTGATGGCTGTGACCTGTGTTAAACGCTCACAGGAGAAGCTACAACTGCACAGAAGGCACTGCCTGCCTCACACTTCAAGGCTGTGTCTAGAATCTCGAATTCTTACGAGTCCCATCTGTTTTCTCTTTGCTCCCAACTCGTGCGTGTTCGTGCGTTGGCTTTGCCGCGGCGACGCCGGGACGCCCCTGGCCAGGCCTGCACTACTCCGTGCCTTCCTGTCACTATGGGAATCAGCCTTCCACCTACGGGGTGATGGCAGGTAAGGGGCCAAACCTCAGCTGGCTGAGCTGTCAGAGCGTGGATCTTAGCCAGCTGTCCTTCTGAGGGACCAATCCAAGGCAATCGTTTAAAGGAGATGGGATTTGGATTGATTTGTTAGAAAAAGGATTGGGAAATTAGTGCCCAGAGTTTCCCAGAACTCTGCATCTCTTGTGGAATCACTCTGTATCTTTGTCTCCCGACAAAGCTGGGAAAGTGCTGATCTTTTTGCACACCTCTGGCCACTTCTCCTGGTGATTTTTGAGGGACCAGAAGTGGCATACCCGACACACCTGGGTATGACCAATACCTGGGCTGATGAAGCTATAAAATAAAATGATGGCATAATGAAGGGATAGCTGAATTCAGCAGGCAGATCAGCCATGTGATCATGGATTTTTACACTCATTAATGCATCCTGCTCATTCTTCCCTGTCCTAGGCTCAGTAAGAGTGAGGCATTTATATTCTGTGCAAGCTTAAGCAGCAGTCAATGAGATAATGACATGAACCAAGTTAATGCAACTCCCAGGAAATAACTGGGACTTGGAAATAATCCAAAATCAAACTCAGAATTTTATTTCATTTAAGAATTAAGGAAATGCTAGAGTAAATCAGCATAGACTAATAGGGACAGGGTGTAGGCTTCCTTAATGGTGTGCAAATTTCCAAATTCTTGTATTTCATCATGCATTTCTGTGTCTTTTGAAAACATTCCTAGCATTGTCCAGGTCCCTGGGGAAAGTTAATAAGTAATAATAAATTACATTGCTCAGAAATTAGTTTTCTTTAATTCCAAAATAAATACATTTTTATTTTTCTCTTTTCTTATTTTCATCTTCTTTTCTTACTATATTTTCTTAGGCATCAAGCCTGCAACTCCAGAGATGCTCTCAGCAAGTCTCTCCCAGACTCGCATCTTACAGACATGCAGCATGCCCCACCCCAACGTGGTAAATGGTGTCAGCACCTTGCAAAGCAAGTCCCCCTCTTTTAAAGTATTTTTCATTATTTTTTGAGATTTTTTTGGTGGTTATCCTGTGCGAAGTGTATTAAATAGTTCTATGCGGTTAGAACCTCCAACACTGATGGGAGTAATTGGGGCAGTGAAGAAAAACCTAGCTCTAATAAATGGAGGCAGCAGTGGGAGGTTAATGAAATTCTGAGTTTTTCTACACAGTTTTGTATAGTTTAGAAAATGGTGAAGGATGACCTGAGAATCTGGAATTTACTGGCTGCTCCAGATACACTGAGGAGTGTTAATATTTCTCCAATAATTCACCCCATGCCTCCCTCAGGTCAGACTTTTAGCTCTATGTACAGTATCTAGAGAAAAATCAGCCTTCACTCTTAACTGAATCTCCTTGTTAAGTCTGACATTTGGGAACAAAAGGTAGTGAAATATAGTTCTTTTTTATCCTTGAGCAATTTCTTTTTTGAAGGATCATTCTGAATGAGTTCTGTTTTTTTTTTGGTGTTTTTTTTTTTTTTTTTCTTTGAGCTTTTACCTATGTACTTTCCTCACAGAAATTTTATGCTGCAGCTAAAACAAGATAGTATCTTGTCTGAGCATCAAATGGCATCTACATGGAAGTATTCTTTGTACCAGAAAATTGACACTGGCAAATTTTAAGTGACTCAGAATTACACAGATCCATTGATCTTGTTGTGCCACTTCAGTTCAGCTTAGAGCATGGATTTTTATTTGTGTAACTTTAGGCCATTTGCCTCTTATTTAAGTGCTTCACAGCTGGCTAAGTGACAGGATGCCTGTGGCTGGTAAAGGGGCTGTTGACAGGTTTCCATGTGCTGGGACAAAAAAGAGAAAACACATCCCAGGAAACGCTAATTGCTGGATTCTCTGGCGTGTATTATATAACTAAAATTGCGGGCAGGGATGACGAGGCGGCGCGGGGAGGTTTTCAGTGTGCAGCAGCAGAGAATCACGCAATGAGCCCTCTCTTTGGCCTTGCCCAGGTGGCCTGACGCCCTGCCTGTACAAGTTCCCGGAGCACGCGCTGGGCGCCAGCTCCTGTGCCCTGGGCCACGGCTTCACGCCGCTGCCCCAGCCGCTGCTCACGGACGAGCCCGCTGCCGCGGACTTCAAGCAGGAGTTCCGCAGGAAGGGCAAGCCTGCGGAGGAGCCCGTGGACATGGACTCGCCTGAAATCAGGGAGCTGGAGAAATTCGCCAACGAGTTTAAGCTGCGGAGGATCAAGCTGGGTACGTGCTTCGTGTCCATGAACAAGGGGCTGGAAGAGTCCAGTGAAAGCCCAAGTGTTTCTGAGTGTTTTATGGCCTGGCCTCTGCTGTCGTCTGAGCACAACTCTAATCCTGCCTTGCCCTGCAAACTTTCTCCGTTCCTAGAAGACTTGCATGGAATTAATGAATGTCAGCTTTTAGTTTGCAGAAAAGGACTTGAAACTTTCCTGCCCTTTAATTATTTGTGTTAAATGCAGAGAAAATTTTTTTCTGTTAAATAAATTACATTCAGTGTCGGGTGCAATATTTTGCACAGCTCCAAATTATCTGCAAGTTCAGGCAGATAGCCCTCATAACCATCTCACCTCCCATACCCATTCTTTTCCCCACAGACTGTTTAATCTGATGGTCTGCTGTCATTTCAGTATACACTGAGTGACATCCATGGGAAATCCTTCACACCAGTAGGAAGCTTCTCTTCCTGGTTTTTTTTTTTTTTCTTTTTGTTCCAAGACACAGTTGGGAAGCAATTGATATCTTTGTTGCTGTGAGATAACTGCTGAGGACAAAGGTGGGCTGAGCCCTGTCATTCTTGGCATTATCACTTACAACATTGCATCAGAATTATAGACAATCCTTTTATTTTATAAATCTAAAAAAATTATAAGATTATTTGCAGTATGTGTGCACGAATTTAACAGCTAGAAAGTCAGTATTTGGAGTCTAAACAGAAATAAAAGAAATTAGGGTTTAAAAAATGGTTACAAACTGGCCAATTTTCCTGTATATCTTGTATTTGATGTCAGCCACAGCGATGGAAAGTGTTTGCCAGGCCACACATAGTTAATCACTGCATCTTCATCCAGAATTATTGAGGCAACAAAACTTCCTTTGGTGTAAGAAAATCACATGGAGCCTGTAAAATGGAAGAAATGCAATATGCACAAGAAAAATAATCTCAGTTTGAGCTTTACAAGAAAAAACAGGTTATGAGTCTGAGAGACACAGGGTTAGTGCAGTCAAAAAAGGAGCTTAAAAGGTGCCTCACGGGACTGCGAGTGCCTGAAGAGATCTTGCCTTGTCCTGGCACTGAAGCAGAAAAGGAGGATGAGGAACCAGCCCCTCAGCCATGGCAGATCCACATTCAGAGAAATGAACAGGGATCTGTTGAAGCAGAGTCAGAGTCTGCATGGAAACTGCAGCATTTCTCTGACGACTTCAGCTTAGTTGTTGCAGCAAGTAACAGGAGACCAGCAGTGCCTCTAGGGATTACTTTATTGCTTCACACCATCTACAGAAAGACATGGTGTGTCTGGATCCTTCTCCAAGCACCTCAGGGAAAGTAATCCTCCTAGAAAGCTTCAAAGTTGCTTTTCCCCCTTTGTTTCTGGCAGGCTATACACAAACCAACGTTGGGGAAGCGCTGGCTGCTGTGCACGGCTCCGAGTTCAGCCAGACGACGATTTGCCGGTTTGAGAACTTGCAGCTGAGCTTCAAGAACGCGTGCAAACTGAAATCCATCCTGTCCAAGTGGCTGGAGGAAGCAGAACAAGTGGGAGGTAGGGAACTGAAATCCTCTAAATATTGACTTGCACTTCAAGCAGAATCCCATGCAAAATTTTAGGGCTATTATATGTCTTCTGCAGACTAAAGATTTTGTTTTACCAGCTTTAAATGCTGAGGTCTGCTTGTGTTAAAGTATAGTTATCTTTTTTTTTGGATGAGCATGGAGGGGAAAACTGAAATGCATGGAGTGTACAGAATAGCAGAAATATCTCCCAGGACGCTGGAAGAAATTTCTTCCAGTCCCATCCCAGAAAACCAGTTCCAGTCCTGTAGAGAGCCAGAGTAGGATGTGCAGGACAGCCCATTTAGCAGTGTACAGGGATTTTTCACTAGCAAAGGCCTTTTGCTTCTAACCATTTCTGCCTATAACCATTTTTAATTGGAGGTAAAACAATGACTGGACATCCTAACAATGGAAAGATCCTGTGTGTGGTGCTTCTCTTATTCAACAGCACTTTCTCTTGTGCTTTCTTCTTCTTCTTCTATTTTTTGTTTTCTAGTCCCTTTGGAATGTAACTGCCAGCTTTTGTTGTTTGGCTGCTGCTTCTTTTTTTTTTTTTTTTCTCACTTCCAGAATAATGCATGAAGTGCCCTCTTGTGTCCAAAGAAATTACAGCTACTGCTGAAACTTCTGGATGCCTCCCAGTGGCACATAAGAATGTCACATATGTAGTTTTTCAGAGTATGTAACAGAAATTGGAAGCAAATTCTGTCAGGAAATAAGAAAAAACAGCAGTATTAAATTATTCTGTTTAGTGAACCACTCAGTTTTGGTTGCTACTGTCTCTGAGGAACAGATGAGGGCAGACATTTGGAGAATGTGATGATGGCTAAAACAGCTGGCCATAATCTCTGTGATTTCTAGGAATACTCTAGTGCTGTCTCTATAATCAGTGAGATGCAAACCACACAGTGTTTCCCAAATCTAAGTAATAAAGCTCCTGCTCTCTGTAAACCCAAAGGATTTGATACAACCAGGTAACACCACTGATGTGCATTTGCTGGGGCAGAAGGATGGTCAGGCTTGTTCCAATTCCTGTGATCCCCACTCATAACTTGTTAGTAGCTGTGTCTCCTAGATAATATCAAGAAACACAAATATATTATGATTAACACTGAAATTGCACTGAACTTCATCCTATTTTTGCCTTTAAATCACCCCATGCCAAAATTCTGTATGATATCACGCTGCTCATGTCAGCAGGGAGCTACAGTGTATTTTTAGTGCTTTGGGTTCCCTTTACATAGAGAAAGATGAAATAAACCAAGTCACTGCCTTCAGTGTTGTTACTTGATCTTTCTCTTGAACTAGTGGTGAAAGCCTGAGTGTACAGAAAAGTTTTTAAAGGCGAAATTTTACCCTTGGTTTATTTCATCTTTCATCAGTCAGTGCTGTTGATCTTTTTCTTGAACTAGTGGTGAAAGCCTGAGTGTACAGAAAAGTTTTTAAAGGCGAAATTTTACCCCTGTATCCAGCATTGCTGCCAAAGAAGCCCTCGAGAGGCATTTTGGAGAACAAAGTAAGCCGTCTTCTCAGGAAATTATGAGGATGGCTGAGGGGCTCAATCTTGAGAAGGAAGTCGTGAGAGTTTGGTTTTGCAACAGAAGACAAAGGGAAAAAAGAGTGAAGACCAGTTTACACCAGAATGCCTTCAGCTCTATTATCAAGGAGCACCATGAATGCCGGTGAAGCTTTTCCACGTACACACGTGCACTTCTGTTTTCCTTTTTGTAAATATTGTAAATACTGTGTTGTTAAAAAAGAGAAAAATCGGTAAACCACTCGTTCCTCCTACGTGCTACCAGCAGCTGTAGCATGAGAAAGATTTTGCTGTCATTAATTAAGGCACAGTGAGCTCACCAGGACAGAGGTGTCACACTGCTCCTACCGCGAGCTCTGTCTCAGCCCAGCATTTGACTGCCTTGACCCGGTGTCACGTAGAAGTGGCTTGGATAATGCTTGTTATCAAAGGTAATTCTTGCTAATTTGTTGTGTGCCTCAAAGTTTGGTTTGGGTAGGCTTAGCTATACAAACAGGAATACAATTTATCTGACCTTAGGACTTTGTGGCCTGAGGGAAGAAAGATAGTTATTGGGGGTCTTATAACATTGGTCTTTCTCTGCATTGTACTTTTTTCTGATTAAAACCATGTGTGGACATCCTTACACCAGAGACGGTGTGTTAAGCTAAAAAGTATACAAAAGAAGAATTTATTGCACTGCACATTCCCCCTCTATTACACCCCACTAATTGAAAATAATCCCTTATTTGTCATCCTCCTGCCTAGAGATAACTGAGGGGAAAAAAACCAGTGCCAGAGCTCCACCTATCAGGCAGGCACTGAGAAAACTGAATTAATGACTGTAGTACTCACCAGGGATAGATTATCCAGCCATCTCATCAGCCCTGCTCATTGTTATGGGAATTAGCCCATTACCATGTAAGTATTTTGACTGTTTTCCCAGGACTGAAATTAAGTGAGTACACGCAATAGTACTGGCCAGATGCATTTTATTTTTCCATAAAACAAACCTGATGATTTAGAAAATGTCTATATAATAGGCCCACAGAAAGCCAGGGGAGTTTAATGTTCAAGACCACTTAGAAGCAGCATGAAAAAGTTAAGTGCTCACTCTCCAGTGTACATTAAATTAACTCTGATACTTATTACAGTGACCGTAAGCATATCCAGCAATGGAAATCAGGCTCCTGGATTTCTAAAAAAAATATATTTTTATGGATGAATGCACCACTCTAAGCCCCTAACTGAGAAGAAAACTTCAATTTAATAACTCAAAGGGGAGAAACTGTGGCCTTGTATTCCCTTCAGGCTGCTCTCATAGCTAGCATAGCTCACCCACTACAGCAGAGACCAAGGTGCATACTTTTATCCACCACAGGTTATCAGCAGGTCATGAACTTCACAAAAAACATTCAGCTGAGAGGATCAGCACTCAGCAAAGGTGGTGGCATGCACTGGTGTACCTTTCATGTGATGTGGTCAAACGTTATCTATGTTGAAATCACTATCTGGTATATAAAAACTTTATTTATATTCTAAATTATTTTCTTAATTATAAAAGCCTTCCTAGAAATGCTATCAACCTGTACTTCGCAAGCTCCTCATCCAATAAAGTATTCCTATACTTTTGGCACTCCAGGCAGTGGTTTGTAGTTCTGTTTTGGTAACACTTTACTCTCTTTCAGCTGGGTGTCATGCTGAAGTGTATTTTAGAATGCTCTAACAGATAGTTCCAGAGCAGCCTCACTGTAATATGGTGGGCTCTTGCCCCTCAAAAAGTCTCACAAGTGAAAGCTAATTGCAGAATTAAATAAAATGAAAGGTGACACATAACAAAATTGTCTTGCAAAAGGCCAGCTGGAGGAAGCAGCCACCATTTAAACCCACCTACCTGTTGCCACAGAAATACAAAGGAATTAAAATTATTTAAAGAAGAAAAGATGGATGAAATCAATTTCAATGGCTGCAGCTGGAGCTTTACTTATAGAAAGTGGCAATTAATTATTTTTTCTCTGGGAACAACTTAATTACCACCAATTACTCTTGACTGGGGTGTGGGGGGAGGACCTAACCTGCATATAAGGCAGGATTTCCAAGGAGCAACTCTGTAAACCTGCAGGAGTTTAGTTGGTCATTCAGCCAAGCTGGGCTGTGCCTGTTTTTGAGATACTTGTGGGGTTTTTTTCCTTGGTTTTCTTTTCCCGTGGTAACTTTAGGCAGGGTGTTAAAACCACACTAGAGGGCAAAACAAGGTGCTATCACAATGTTTAAATCTGAGGTTCAGCTGTCTCTGAAGAACTGTGATGTGCTGTGCCCTCATGTGAGGGACACAACCCACCAAGCACAGGCCAAGATGCTGAGCAAAGGTGAGTAACTTGAAATGGCTCTCTGCTAGACTTAAATGTGTGTGCATTGGATGCTTTTATTATAGTGAATACAGAACGCTTTTATTATAGTGTTTAGACAAGTAGTTATCATTTATGATCCAAAATTGTTCTCAAAACTAGTATTTAGATTTAGTTTCTCAATGTGAATCAGTTGCATCTTAGCAATAGTCTGCTCAATTGTGAACTGTACTAAAAAGCTGATGAAGGCAGGCTGTTCACCTTCCTGCCTAATATAAGAACTAGGAGTAAATACAGGAAGATGGAAAGAAACTTAAAACAAACAAACAAAAAAAAAGTGGTGGTTTTTAACATGCTTGGGAAAAAAACATCAGTGGAAAGAAACATGTGGCTGTCAAAGTTCCTTTGTATGGAAGAGTTCTCAGATGAAAAAGCCACTTAGAGCTGGTGTGTGTAGAACTTGCACAGGGCTCTGGAGGTACTTTATTTCTGAAACAGATTGAAAGAGTATTAAGGGAGGAAGCATCATTGATGCTCACTGTGTTCTCACTGCTCCTCTGGGAATTGCTTCTGGGCACTTGAGGAATAAGACTCTGGGTAGAGCCATTTTTAGGTGTGTGCACAACTGTGTCATTGCTCCCAGATGGAGACTCAGAGACAGTTCCTATTTAGGTGCTAGCAAGGATAAAGGAGGGTAAGGATTGAGTGGTTTCACTGTTTTGGTTTTTTTTCAATCAGTGTGATTTAAAAGGAATTTGTATCTAAGCAGGGGGTGCAATTTTTTTACCGTGATCCAACATACTGACCATAATTGCAGACACATAACAAGACTGCAAACCTACAGCATTCCTCACCCTGCTACCCAAAGATTTTTACACAGGTTAGAGCTGCAGGATTGAAAAGGTAACCTGTAACAAACCACAGGATTGATACTGACACCAGCCCTAGTTCAGCAGTCTGAATGGCACCAAAAAAGCAATTCCTTTCTTCCTGTTCCTCAAGGACCCAGAGAAAAGAACTCATTATGGAATTATGCCCAATTTTGACAGTTATTAAAAGGATCAACTGCACATCTCATTCAGCAAGGACACAAGCCTTGGTGTTCAACCGAACTACAAACAACCACTAACATTTTATTCCTGTGTTCACATTATGATTTCTCTTTCAAGACCACAGACCAGTACTTGGGCATGAGGTTCCAGACATGGGAATGCAAACTTGAAAAAGTCTTTACTGAATATTAAATCAAAGGCCCATGAGCATCTACAACAAATATGATGGTGCTTTATCAAAGCAAGTCAAAGGAATATTTATCAGAGCTCACAAAGAAAGCCCAGTAAGAGACAGATGTGTAACATTAACCCTACAGAGGACAAAGTCATTGTGGGATAAAAAGCCTTTTATTAGATTTTTACAAAATAACTTGTAAAAAAAAAAAAAATCACCCCATATTGGATATATGCAATATATTAACTTACACGTTCCTACCCACTACCTGACAGATTCGGTTTTGCATTATTTCTTTGAAAGAGAAAGAACACCTGCAATTCTAGGCCTAAAACCTGACGAAGGCTCTCCTATGAGTTCTCTTTGCTGGCTTCAATCCCAAACAGTAGATGGTGCAACAACAGCACATTCTCTGAGGTGTCCTGCTATACTTTACCTAGCAGCAAAGTCTCTTTATGAGGTTTGCTCCCCCGCAGTTTTCCTGGTTTTGCTTTTGGGAGGTATTTTGATTTTCTCTTTTTAAAGCCAAAATGACTGTTGTTTCTGTTCAATGACCAGCACCGCTACATCAACACTGAGGGGCAAATATCTCCAGCAGAGTCAGGGCTGAGGAATATCACAGCATCCAGGAAGTAATAACTGGGAACTGCATTCTCATTTTGTCTATTTCCAGTATCAAGAGTTCTTATTCCTTAGCACAATGCATACTCCACATAAAGCTAGAATTGTGTTGATGCAGTTCAGAGATCATAGAAAAACCTTCGCAGAACCAGAAAGTTTTTATTATAGTGTTTAGACAAGTAGTTATCATTTATGATCCAAAATTGTTCTCAAAACTAATATTTAGTTTATCAATGTGATCAGTTGCATCTTAGCAAACAATACAATTACACAGTTATCTTCCATTAAGAAGTACTGTAAAATATATACAAATGTTGCTTCAGGCAAATGACCTTTTTTTCAAGTGCACAAGTTGCATTTCTGAATGAGCGCATCTCTCCACTTCAGCACTGAGACCCATCAAGCATACAGAGAGGTCTCACCGAAGCATTTTGTAAAACCATCTTAATTATTAAGTTTACTCACCTTTCAAAGACTCCTTCTGAAAGAAAATCACAAAGGTACAAGATTTATATACATAAAGGCACAGCAATTCTGTTGAAACCAGCTATGTTACAGTACGAGAGAGTTCAATCAGTGCCTTTCATGCAACAAATTTTACTAACAAATGTAACTCCTCTTCCAGAAAAATTAACGGCTCAAGGAGTATATCCTTCCCTTCTGGTAAGAGGAATAACAAGCTATTATTTCATCAGCCCAAAAGGAATTTTGAAGAAATTCATAAAATGCTTTTTCTTTCTGTCTAAATTAGCTAGACATTCAAAGCTATTTCTCATGGAAAAAAAAGTTTGCAACTAAGAGCCAAGGTGAAGTTTCATTCGTGCTAAGAGATGACAGACTAAATGTTTCTCTAGTGATAGTTTTGTAAAAATGATAAATATTACATAGGTGCTGTCCAAGGAAGTGGCATGACCAGCCACAGAATAGCCAGTTCTACAGACAGATCAGGAACACAGATGGAAGAAAACTTTGAA